GAGCGATAAACAAGAATTGTGTAAGTACTGATGCCGCCTGCACAGCAGAGCACGGGATACATAACTCTCTATATAACTCTTGCGCACAACAAAAGGAACTGCGGCTCGGTCCTGGTTTGGCGAGATTAGTCTAGCATCTTTGGAGTACGCGCAACGTGTGCATGCCCCATGGTGCTACACGCGCGGGACAACTCTGGGAGGTCCCGAACATTTTGGATTTTCAGTGGTTTTTCAAGAAGATATTTGACCACGCCGCTGCAAGCAGCCAGATGCATTGGTTTGAAGTTGCTATTGAAGTTGTGCCTGATTCGTGTTCCCCGTTTGACGCCAGCACCGTTTGCCTATAAACATATACAGCGTATTTAAAAGGGACGGGGCGGAGACGTATGGAGAAAGAAGTGAAAGTTTGAGAAGTTTGTGCATGCGTGTATATACGCGCCTTCCCCAGGCAGTACGGCCTTAGAGACAAACGCATATAGGCGCACTAAAGCAGATTTTCGATATGTGTGGTTCATAGGCGTCCACGCAGTGTTTTGAAAGGAGTTAGGAGCGCAGAGTATGTGCGAATCACGAGCTGCGCAACTTGCACGAGCGGGTCTAAAGCCCCGGCACGGCGAACCCATATCTACCATTTGAGATGTGTGCTGCTCTGTTGGAGAAGGGTCAACGCAGCACTTCGAGGGGTGGAGGGGGCGGTGAGTGCGTGAGTATCGTTGGTTGCGCAGTTTATGTGGGCGGATGTACGGCGCGGCGCCGCGAAGCCGCTTTTCGGGTTGGGGTGGGGCGCTGCCGTAACCAGCTAGTATGCGCTTAAAAGGGACGGCATGTATGCGCAGTTTAGTGGGCGAAAGACAGGCGCAGTTCATTGGCATCTCCGACCTATTCAAGAGGCGCTACGTTTGGTGCGTGTGTGGGTATCGGGGGTTTTGCAGTTTGTGTGGGCGCGTCTAAGACTACCGTGTGGGAAAGGCGTAGTGGACCTTGCGATCTGGCGCTGGCTTGCCAAGGAGGTATGTCCTTCGAAGGAAATCCACCTGCGCGCAGCGTAATGGGCAGTAGATATGTGTGGTGGGTTGGGGTCTCTGCAGTACTTGGACGGGGGGTAGCGGGAGAGGGTGTGTTAGTTTCGTGGATTGTGGAGTTTGTATGGGCGGGTCTGGGGCTGCCGTGTGGCGAAGGCGTGTTTGACGTTGCAATCTGGCGCTCGCTTGCCAAGGAAGTATGTCCTTCGAAGGAAAGCCAGGTGCATGCAGTGTAATGGGCTGTAGATATGCGTGGTCAGTAGGCGGCACTCCAGTATTTTTGAGGGGAGGCAGCGGGAGTGGGTGCGTTAGTTTCGTTGTCAGCCAGATGCATTGGTTTGATGTTGCTATTGAAGTTGCGTCTGATTCGTGTTCCGCATTTGAATCCAGCGCCGTTTGCCTATAAACATATACAGGGTGTTTGAAAGGGACCGGGCGGAGACGTATGGGGAAAGAAGTGAGGGTTTGAGAAGTTTGTGCATGCGTTTATATACGGCCTCGGCGTGGTGAAGTTGTACTTGATGGTGCCGCCGCGTGACGCCTTCCCCAGGACGTATGGCCTAAGGAACAAACGCATAAAGGCGCACTGAAGCATATTTTCGATATCTGTGGTTCATAGGCGTCCACGCAGTGTTTTGAAAGGAGTTAGGGGCGCAGATTATGTGAGAATCACGAGCTGCGCAATTTGCACGAGCGGGTCTAAAACCCCGGCACGGCGAACCCATATCTACCATTTCAGATGTGTGCTGCTCTGCCTCGCAAGCATTTTCTGAGGGACTAAAGCATCTATGTGCAGCGTAATGGGTGGTCGAAATGCGTGTTGAAGAGGGGTCAACGCAGTACTTTGAGGGGTGGAGGGAGCGGTGAGTGCGTAAGTATCGTGGGTTGCGCAGTTTATCCGGGCGGATGTACGGCCCGGCGCCGCGAAGCCGCTTTTCGGGTTGGGGTGGGGCGCTCCCTTAACCAGCTAGTATGCGCTTGAAAGGGACGGCGTGTATGCGCAGTTTAATGGGCGGTAGACAGGTGCAGTTGATTGGCATCTCCGCACTATTTTAAGAGGCGCAACGGTAGGTGCGTGTGTGGGTATCGGGGGTTTTGCAGTTTGTGTGGGCGCGTCTAAGACTACCGTGTGGGAAAGGCGTAGTGGACCTTGCGATCTGGCGCTGGCTTGCCAAGGAGGTATGCCCTTCAAAGGAAAGCCACCTGCGCGCAGCGTAATGGGCAGTAGATATGCGTGGTGGGTTGGGGTCTCTGCAGTACTTGGACGGGGGGTAGCGGGAGAGGGTGTGTTAGTTTCGTGGATTGTGGAGTTTGTATGGGCGGGTCTGGGGCTGCCGTGTGGCGAAGGTGTGTTTGACGTTGCAATCTGGCGCTCGCTTGCCAAGGAGGTATGTTCTTCGAAGGAAAGCCAGGTGTATGCTGTGTATTGGGCTGTAGATATGCGTGGTCGGTAGGGGGCTCTCCAGTATTTTTGAGGGGAGGCAGCGGGAGTGGGTGCGTTAGTTTCGTGGATTGTGGAATTTGTTTGGGCGGGTCTGGGGCTTCCGTGCGGCGAAGGCGTATTTGACGTTGCAATCTGGTGGTCGCTTGCCAAGGAGGTATGTCCTTCGAAGGAAAGCCATGTGTACGCAGTGAGCTGCATGGTAGATAGGCATGGTGGGTAGGGTTAACCGCATTGTTTCGTAGCGGCGGTGGGTGTCTGAGCATAGCCGCTTACGGAGTTTATGTGGGCTGGTCTATGGCCGCCCTGTTGCGAGGGTGCATTGGGCGTTACGGTAGTGTGCTGCCGTGTCCAAGGTGTATGCCCTTAGACATGAAGGCATGTATGCACAGTGTAATTAATGGTGAGTAGGAGTATCCCCAGTGTTGGGAGGGGAGGTAGGGGAAGTGCTTGTGTGAGGCTCGTGCGTTGTTCAGTTTGTGGCGGGTGGTCCTCCCGCCATCTGGTGTAATTATATGTGATGTTGGCCTCGCGTGCTATGTTGTGCAGAAAGTATGGCCTTTGAAGTGAAGGCATGTACGCACAGTGTCATGAATGGGATATTCGCGTGGTGGGCTTATCCGCAGTGTTTGGGGTGGAGGTAGCGGAGGTGGGTGTCTGATAAGGGCGGGTTCTGCAATTTGCGTTAGCAGGTGTCGGTCCGCCGTGTGTTGAGGGCGCATCTGGCGTTACGTTGGTGTGCTGCTTTGTCCAGCGAGTATGCTCTTAGAAGTGAAGGCATGTATGCGCAGTGTGATGGATGAAAGATTCGCGTGGTGGGTTGGGGTATCCGCCGTGTTTGGAGAAGAGGTAGGGGGCGTGCTTGTGTGAGGCTCGTGGGTTGTTCAATCTGTGGCGGGTGACCTTCCGCCATCTGGTGTAATCATATTTGGCGTTGGCGTCGAGTGCTGTGTTGTTCNGTGGCGGGTGACCTTCCGCCATCTGGTGTAATCATATTTGGCGTTGGCGTCGAGTGCTGTGTTGTTCAGAGAGTATGGTCTTGGAAGTGAAGGCATGTATGCGCAGTGGAGTGTGTGGTATATATGCGTGGAGAGTATGGTTCTCCGCAGTATTTTGAGGTGAGGTTGGTGAGGTACGTGCGTGAGCATCGTGGGTTGCGCAGTTTGTGTGGACTGGTGCACGGTGCTGGCGCTGCGAAGCCTTTTTTCGCGTTGCGCAGTGCAATGGGTGTCCAGCGAGTATGCCTCTAGAAGCAAGAGCATGCATGCGCAGTGTAGTGGGTGGTAGGCATGCGTGGTGTCTGGAGGTATGCGCTGCGTCGTGCGAGAAGCTAGGGTAGGAGCCTGTGTGTGTGTAGGGGCTGTTGTGCAGTTTGTGAGGGGATTCCGTGACCCGCAGTGTGGCGACGGTGCGTATCTGCCGTTGCGTTGGGGCACTGTTATGTCCGGCAAGTATGCCCATAGAGTAGTTGGCATGTATGCGCAGTGCACTTAGGGATTGGTAGACGCGGCGGAGAGGCGTTTGCGCAGTAGTTGGATGGGAGGTGTGCGAGGTGGGTGTGTGAGCATCGTGGGTTGTGGAGTTTGTGTGGGTGGGTCTAGAGCTGCGCGTTGCGAGATCATATCTGCCTTTCGGTCGCGCGGTGCCCTGCAAAGGAAGTATGCCGTTTGAAGAAGAGCGATGTGTAAGCAGTGTAATGAGCGGTAGGCATGCGTTGCCGATTGGCCTCTCCGCAGTGCGTGGAGGGGAGGCAGCGGGGGTGGGTGTGTTAGTTTCGTGGGTTGTGGATTTTATGTGGGCGGGTCTACGTCCGCCATGCGGCGAAAACGCATTTGGCTTCGCGGTCTGTGGCTGACTTGCCAAGGAGGTATGTTTGTCGGAGGAAAGTCTTATGCATGCAGTGTAATGGGCGGTCGGCATGTGTGGTGAGTGGGGATCTCTGCAGTGTTTGGGGAGAGGTTAGGGGGAAAGCGTGTTCTAGTTTCGTGGGTTGTGCAGTTCATGTGGGCAGGTGTAGGTCCACCTTGTGGAGGAGGCGTGTTTGGCGTTGCGGTGTGGGGCTGGCGTGCCAAGGAGGTATGTCCTTCGAATGAAA